CTACAGGATTGAGGCAGCCACTGCAGCTGCGAGGGAGGGATCAAGGCAGCTGCCATGGCTGTGAAGGCCTACTCTTGCATGAATTTCATGCATTGGGCCTCTAGTCCTATATAATAAAGAGGTAATATGCAAATTGACCATCACTCACTCACAAGATGGCTGCCTACGACCAGGCCAGCAGGGGGTTAGTGAGGCGACCAAACAACTGAACATCAGCCTGTGTGGGGTGACCAGGCTGGTGGGGGGGGAGGCGTGAGTGGGGGTGACCAGGCCAACAGGAGGGGCAGTTAGGGGCGACCAGGCCAGCGGGGGGGGCAGTAAGAGGCAACCAGGCTGGCGAGGGGGGGCCAGTTAGGGGCAACCAGGTTGGCAGGGGGACAGTAAGGGGTAACCAGGCCGGCAGGGGGGCAGTTAGGGGCGATCAGGCTGGCACACAGAGGCAGTGAGGGGCAATCAGGCTGACGAGGGCAGGAGCAGTTAGGGTAGACCAGGCAGGCAGGCAGATGAGCGATTAGGAGCCAGCAGTCCAGGATTGTGAGATGGATGTCCGACTGCCATCTAAACAGTAGGCTGCGTGGGGTGACAGGCAGTCAGACATCTCTTGAGGGGTCCTGGATTAAAGAGGGTGCAGGCTGGGCTGAGGGGAGTCCCCCCTCCCCGTGCATGAATTTCATGCACCGGGCCTCTAGTCCTATATAATAAAAAGCTAATATGCAAATCGACCAATTGGCAGAACGACCGGTCGCTATGATGCACACTTACCACCAGGGGGCAGACGTTCAACACAGGAGCTACCCCCTGGTGGTCAGTGTGCTCCCACAGGGGGAGCGCTGCTCAGCCAGAAGCCGGGCTTATGGCTGGCGAGCGCAGTGGCAGTAGTGGGAGTCTCTCCCACCTCCACGGCAGTGCCAAGGATGTCTGACTGATGGCTTAGACACCAACAGTGCACAATGGTTCCCCTTTCTCCCCATCCTCACCAACATATATGTTTTGTTGACTTATTGATGATAGCCATTCTGACAGGTGTGAGGTGGTATCTTTGTGGTTTTAATATGCATTTCTCTAATTAGTGACATTGAGCATCTTTTCATATATCTGTTGGCCATCTTTGAAGAAATGCCTATTCAGGCCCTCTGTCTACTTTTAAAAATATATATATTTTATTGATTTCAGAGAGGAAGGGAGAGGAAGAGAGAGAGAGAAACATCAATTGGCTGCCTCCCGCACACCCCCTACTGGGGATGGAGCCTGCAACCCGGGCATGTGCCCTGGATCGGAATCAAACCCAGGACCTTTCAGTCCACAGGCCTGAGCCAAACCAGCTAGGGACCTCTGCCTACTTTTTAATTGGATTAAGTTGTATGAGTTCTTTGAATATTAACCCCTTATCAGATGTACCATTGATGAATATCTTTTCCCATTCAGGCTGTCTGATTTGATAAGAAAAGTCTCAGTCCTGTTGGTTGAAATAGGATTCCAGGAACTTCTTATAAGGCCTGGCTCAGATGCAGGAACACAGGCTGCAGATAACTGCAGGAGGCAGGCAGTTCAGCTGTAGGCTTCTCCCTTAAGGGTGACTTGCATGAAAGGCCCATTTAGGAATGGTTGCTAGGCTCCTTTGTTTTTTTTCGTTTTGTTTTTTAACTTTGAGCTTTAGCCACCAGAAGCCCTTCTTGGGGGTATCTCAGGGTCTACACTTTTCATTCAGTTTTAGAAATTTTCTCATTTCCCTGGTGATTTCTTCCTTACTCATGGGTTACTTAGAAGTTTGTAGTTTTTTTTTAAAAAAGTTTGTAGTTTAATTTCCAAATACTTAGGGTTTCCTAAATATTTTGTTATTGATTTCTAATTTAATTCCATTGTGGTCAGAGGGCAACCTCTGTATGACTTGAGTATTTTTATGTTTTTGAGATGTTTTATAGCTCAGTGTATGGTTTATCCTGGTGAATGTACCATGCAACTTAGAGAGTATGTTTTGTACAGTAGTTTAGTGTTTTATTTTTAAACTAGAGGCCCAGTGCACGAATTCATGCACTGGTGGGGTCCAGCCGGCCCATCCCGATGGGGCCAACTGGGGGGCAGGGCCAGCCAGGGCGAGGGGCTGCAGTCGTTCCAGTCGTTCTGCCGTTTGGTGGCTGGGCTTTATTATATAGGATATATTTTTATTGATTTCAGAGAGGAGGAAGGAGAGATAGAAATATCAATGATGAGAGAAAAATCACTGATTGGCTGCTTCCTTCATGACCCACACTGTGGTTAGAGCCCACAATCCAGGTATGTGCCTTGACTGGGAATTGAACTGTGACCTCCTGGTTCATAGGTTGATGCTCAACCACTGAACCATGTCGACTAGGCTGTTTAGTGTTTTATAAATATTAATCAGGTCAAGCTAGTTGTATTGTTTAGACTCTGTCTTTGCTGATTTTTTTGTCTAGTTGTTTATCAATTGCTGAGGTTAAAACTCTCCAAAGACAACATTGATGGAATTGCCTATTTCTCCTTTTAATTCTGTCAACTTTTGCTTCATGTATTCTAGTACTCTACATTTAATGTTTTGCTATTAGGCCAGACACAGGTATGATTGCTATGTCTGACTGACCATTTTATAATTATGAAAAGTTCCTCACCTCTAATGACATTATTTTTATCTTCAAATCTTTATTTCATATTAATATACTCACTCCAGCCCACTATCTGCATGGTATATGTTTTCCATCCAGTTAGTTTTAACAAATTTATGAATTTACATATAAATTTTTTTATAATGCACATCTTTTCTGTCCTTATAATGTTCACCTCTTGTATATAGTTGGGTCATGCTTATCCATTCTGACCACTTCTGCCTTTCACTGAAAAGTTTAATCATTAATGTTTAATGAAATTTTGCTATAGTTGTATCTGAGTATGTAATTTGATTATTTGTCTATTTGTTCTATTTTCTCTTCTTCCTTTCATGCATTTTAAATATTTGAATATTTTAAAAATTCAGTTATCATCTTATTAGCTACACTTCTATACATTACTGTTTTAGTGATTGTTATGGAGTTACAATATATATCAACTTTTCATAGTCCATTTGCAGTTAATATATTATTGCATATAAATGTAGAAATCTTGTATTCCCCTCTTCATGTTACATCTATATATGTTATAAGCCCACAGGACAATGATGTAATTCTTGCCCTAAACAGTCATGTATTCTATGTCATTTAGATAACAAAATTTTTAAGAAAAATAATTTGTATTTACCCAGCCATTTACCGTCACTGATGCTTTTCATTGCTTTCTGAGGACCTGCAGTTCCATAGCATTTCCTTTCAGTTTGAAAAACATACTGTAGTACCTTTTTTTTTATAATGCACATCTTGCCACAAATAGTTTTATTTGAAAATATCTTTGCTTGCATTCTGAAAGAATATTTTCACTTGATATAAACTTGTGGGTTGACAGGTTTTTCTTCTTCTAATATTCAAACATGGTTATTTCATTCTCTTCTGGCCTCTAATTTCTGATGCCAAGTCAGAACAGAAGTGAATTCAAATGCTGTTCCCCTATATCAGTGGTCGGCAAACTGCGGCTCGCGAGCCACATGCAGCTCTTTGGCCCCTTGAGTGTGGCTCTTCCACAAAATACCATGTGTGGGTGCGCACGTACAGTGCGATTAAAACTTCATGGCCCATGTGCAGAAGTCGGTATCTTGTGGAAGAGCCACACTCAAGGGGCCAAAGAGCCGCATGTGGCTTGCGAGTCGCAGTTTGCCGACTACTGCCCTATATGTAATATGTTGCTTTTCTACTACTGCTTACTAGATTTGATCTTTAGCTTTGTTGTAACAGTTTGCTTCAGTGTGTTTATCCTTTTTTGCTGTTTGTTGAGTATCTTGAATATATAAACTTGTCTTTCATTAGACTTAGAAAATTGTCAGCCATTCCCTGTGATGTACCACATATTATTTTATTTATCCATTCACATACTGAAAGGCATCTTGGTTGTTTCCAAATTTTGGTAATTATAAAGAAATGTTGTATCTAAAAAGTTATCACTAAACCCAAGATCATCTAGATTTTCTCTTATATTACTAGTTTTATAGTTTTGCATTTTATATTTAGGTCTATTATTTATTTTGAGTTAACTTTTGGGAAAGGTGTAAGATCTGTGTCTGTACGTATTTTTTTTTGCATATGGATGTCCATTTGTTCTAGCACCATTTGTTGAAAAGACTATCTTTTGTCCATTGTATTACCTTTGCTCCTTCAAAGATCAGTTAACTGTATTTGTATGGGTTTTTGGGTTATGTAATCTGTTCCATTGATCTATTCATCTATTTTTTTTGGCAATACCACTCTTACAGTTACTGTAGCTTTATAGTGACATCTTATATAACGTGTTATGTCATTTACAAAGAGCTAAAAGATAATGACTTTAAAAAGTCATAACCACATATAATTCTTTACTGTCAATAATGTTTAAATATTGTTAGAATTGTGTTTACATTTTTACAATTATTTAATTTACAAAAATAATTGTTGGCTCAATTCAAATAATATTCATACAATGAACTTAACTGATAAATACCTGAAGTATATTTTATTATAGAGGATATCCTCTGGCCTCTCCCTCTTTTAAATTTTGTTTGAAATTTCTTTGCTGAAGAAATGGGGTTGTTTGCTTTAGAGTTTTGTGCAATATAGATTTTGCTGACTATCCATTGTTATGCTCTTCTATACCGTGTATATTTCCTATAAATTAAGAGATCTAGACATCCAATTTTCACCTTTTCCAGGAAGAATACATCATTGGTGTATTGTACGAGTTGTTCCTAATTGTGGAATAAAAGTTATTTTCTTTATCTAATCCTCATTTGGTACCTTTAGCATCCAGGGACAGGGAGTAGGGTCATCAGAATAGAAGGCCCACAGCTTATCTCCACTTAAGATTCCCTTCAATCTTTAAAAGTTACAGCAAACAATCATATCTAAGCAACAAAACTTAAGACAATACACATGTAAAGTTTGGTTTATTATGATAAAATAAAACAAACAAAAGTTAATCTGAACTTTCTGTTATAGAGGGCAGACTGAAACCACACATAAGCTTAGGTCTAACCAAAACTATAAAAATGACAGTGCAGTTTGTGTGTATGTGTGTGTGTGTGTGTGTATGCACATACACACAACATAGATACAGTATATATACTGTATATATCTATATATGTGTAGCAAATACACTGCATAGAGTAGTATATATAACTACATGTAGTTATATAAACGGTTAAATATATATAAAAAGCATAACTTCACAAAGAAAAAGGAATAGGAGAGTAAATCATAGTTAGAAACCAAGTGTATGAGTAAGTGGAAACTAATTTAATTAGCAGATCTAAAAACATCAGAGCCTAAATTGGCAGTACTGTATGTAAAAGAAAGCTGCAATCTACTTTGTACTGTAAAAATCCTAAAACGCTCAAGAATGAGTGGTAAGGCAACTTCTGAAAGCGGGGATAAAGTTAAAACCAAATGATTAGTTTAAAGGCTGTTTAAGAAATAGCCAGATGTTCCCAGGTTTCTTCCTTCCACAGGGCTGGGCAATGCCTTCCATCTTTCCACTCCAGCAGACTAGAGCTTTATTCTCCAAAGAAGGTAAATGCAGGTCATGGGATATCAGATCCAGCTGTGAGCCCTGACAAAAATGATCGTCCAAGCCTTCTGCCTCTTCTTCCTTCCAGAAAGCATAAGATCAAAAGAACCCTCTCTGGGAAATCTTACCAGGCCCCCCAAATGACCTAATTATAATAATGTTAGGGATTCACCAATGAAAAGGCCTATACATACCACTCTGATTGACGCTCAATTGGTAAAACCCATCTACTGCATGGAGCATAAAATCCTATTCAGCTTTTCAGTGCTCTACTGCTGCTAAATATGATTAGGTATCCAAAACTTGATAGAAATTTGAAGAAAGCTTATGACATTTGTTCTAATATCTAAGACAAAAGAATAAAATAAATTGGAGACTATACGGAAAGAAGAAAACTCCTAAAAGAGTATTCTTATTCTTAGAGAAATAAGAAATAAACAAAACTCTATAAAAAAGAATATTCAGCCTGGCCAGCATGGCTCAGTGGTTAAGTGTTGACCTATGAACCATGGTTCGATTCCCGGTCAGTGGACATGCCTGGGTTGCAGGCTCAATCCCCAGTGTGGGGCATGCAGGAGGCAGCAGGTCAATGATTCTCTTTCATCACTTAGGTTTTTCTATCTTTCTCTCCCTCTTCCTTCCTCTCTAAAATCAATAAAAACATATTAAAAAATATACAGTGAGAGAAAAATCTTCCTATAAATTAAAAAAAACATATAACATAGCAGAAATGAAAACTCAATAGAAAGGCTGTATGATAAATATGAGAAATTTCTCAGAAAGTATAATAAAAATAAAAGAGATAAAACATGATGAAAAATATTTTAAAATTTTTATAAAGGACCAGGATAGGAGGGAGAGGGAGTAAAAGAAATAATACAAAAAAGAACTCCCAGAATCTAAAAACATTAGACTCACCATTAGGAGTATAAGGGCATCACACTTAGAACATTATGAACTTTCAGAAAACTAGGAAAAAGAGAAGGTTGTATAAGCAGAGACAGACAGACACTGGAGAACAGTGCAAAGGCTTGAGAAACAGTGCAAATTCTGAGGAAAAATGATTTCCAATCTAGAATTCTATATCCAGCCCAGCAATCATAAATATTTTCATCATATATTCAAGGTCTCAAAAATTTTACCTCCCATATACTTTTTTTCTCAGAAAGTTACCAGAGATTGAGTTTTATCAATGAGGGAGCAAACCAAGAACGAGGACAGCATGAGACACAAAAGCAGATGGATGGTCCAACACAGAAGAGAAGCAGGCAGAAGAAAATTTCCAGGATGATGATATTGATGGGAGATCCCAAGATGACAAGTGTGAGGCTGACCTACAGAATACCCAGTCCAAACTAGAGGAGGCTGTGGGTAAAGCTGTTCAAAATAAACTTGATGAACATAGTATTTGAACATAGTGCAAGGACATTTACATAACCTGGTTGGAGGAAGGTCTGGGATGAGTGAAAAGTACATAGAATGCATAGAAAATACAAACAGTACAATAGCAAAAGGATCTTAGTATATACTTGCTTTAGCACTGAATGGCATTTACACAGGCATAACTTGAACACTGAATTGTGATCAAACCAAAATAAAAGGTTAAGAGAAATGTGGGTGTGTGATAGAGGCAATGACAAAGCTGAGTTCTCATCTGCGACTAAAGCTGAAGAACTAAAAAGGAGCCATATGAACCTGTTAAGACAGAAACATTGACGTCAGTATCAAAAGAATCAGAATGGCTAAAAGAATTGAGAGTAGAGGGCTTTAGGGAACAGGCAAAGGGGGAGGGAGCTATAGAGACTGCTACTGAACAGCCAGCTCTGTGGAAGCTCTGTAAAGTATACACTGAGTGGCCAGATTATTATGACCACCCCTTCAGTACTTCGTTGGACCACCTTTTGCCTTCAATACTGCAGTGATTCTTCTTGGCATTGACTCCACAAGATGCTGAAAGGTGATGCGAGGAATCTGACACCATGCCTGATGAATAGCACTGTCCAGTTCTGTGAGATTTGATGGTTGTGGAACCAGCTGCCTGATGGCTCTTTTAACTTCGTCCCACAAATGCTCAATTGGATTGAGATCTGGTGATTGTGGGGGCTACCTAAGCAAGGTAAAGTCTCCCTCATGTTCTTGAAAGCACTCCTGCACAATACGAGCACCGTGGCATGGTGCATTGTCTTGTTGGAAAAAGCCATCTCCCTTGGGATACGCCATCAACATGATAGGATGAACTTGATCAGCAACGATAATTAGGTATGTTGTGCTATTCAGATGTTTATAATGATCTGGCCCTCTAGCAACTTCAGCGGGAAATTATAGCTAATTTGCCTACAAACGTCAGGTGGTCATAATAATCAGGCCACTCAGTGTATATTTAATTAAAAAATATAAAAGGTAATGTGACACATTTGCTACTATGTAACAATCAACAAATATTCCCTGAGGGTTTACTTGGTGACAGCTGCTGGGCTAGAACCTGCAGTAGCCACAATGAGGCAGGCCAATGGCTACTGGCTGCCGCACATGGTACTTCATGGAAGGGCTTCTGGGATCAGCTGGGAGCAGGGCACAAGTAACAAGGAACAGAAAACAACTCCATGGTCATCTGACATTGGGTACACATCCAGGTGAGGCCTGATTCCAGCAGCCCGTCATTTAATTAGATACATTTAAGATGCACTTTGAAAGGGAAGACTTTCGAAAAAAGAAAGGGATGGATATAAATATTTATAAGTCATTCCAATAGACAAAGAAGCAGGGGCAGCAGGAATTGACCAGATGCCAAGGAAGATAATTTAAAAATAGCAGGAAGCTGAGGAAGAGCCTTAAAGTCTGACCATCAGGAGAATCACTGCTGTGTTGAGGCCAAAATACTTTCTTCAAGGAAAAGGCAGCTCTCTTGGAAGCCCCTGCAGTGAGTCAAGAGAACCAGTCCAAAGTGTGAAGTTTCTCTGGTTTCTTCCTTACCACTCTCCGGTCATTTATGACTTTCTAAATGCCAAGTCTAGCAAACACTTCTCAGGACTCATTCTTTGGACACATCTGTAATACTTAACTCTGACAACATCTGATTCTTTCTTCTGACCGTGATTCTTGTTCTTCCCTTGATTTTTGTGACCCTATGATCCCATTCTTCCTTGGTTCTCCTTCTGCCTCTGTGACGAGTCCTCTGTTAGCCTTCTTTGGCAATGAAGTTCAGATAGTGGTCCTGGCTCTCAGGGATCAGTGCTTAGCTAAAGGGTTTGTAGGCAGGTGAAACAGGAATATTAAAAAATATGATCAAAATAACAACCACAACAGTATCAACAATGATCAGTGCAACACAATCACAGTGCCACTCATGGTGATGAAGATGGAGCGACCAGCTCCAGGGCTAACTTTGCCCAAGAGTTGATGGGTCTAGAAAGGAGAAAGGTATTTTGAAATCCTATTGGCTTTCATTAGCCAAATTACAGTCGGTAACCCAAAGAACCCAGATCCTGTGTGTAAAATATTCATTGTTATGTATTTACTAGAGCCCTGATGCACCAAATTCATGCAAGGGGCTCGGCCTTTGCAGCCCCAGCTGCCCCAGCCGGCCCTCTCAGCCTCGGCCAGCCCTGGCTTCATCTGGAAGGTCGTCTGGACAGTCGTCCAGAAGGTTGTTCGGTTCGGTCTAATTAGCATATTAGGTCTTTGTTATATGGGATAACCTAGCCAGGTACAAACAGGCATTCCAGTGATACGTGCAATAAAACTAAGTGTAAAATGTGGGTGAAGAGAAAATGAGATGGCATCAGTACACAAAAAAACATGATGACTCCACTATATAAAAAGATGTAATCCACATTTAAAGCAGATAAAATCATTACAATTGTTGTTTTAATTAAAGTATGTGTGTCAAGTATCAGTATATCCTTTCTATTTTCAGAGCAGTTTATAAATCCATATGAAAACCTTTATGATACTAGTGCTAGGTAATGTTTAATGACAAGAATGTATGCAAGTTTCAATCTATAATAAAGCATAATTTTTAAGCATATATTAAATAAAATACAGTTAACTTTACTTATTTTAGAAACCTAACCTTTACTTAAAAGCTGCTGATTTATGATAACTTTTGGAAAACACATTATAATATCCTTATGCAACTCATAATAAAAACATCCCACACCACATAATCCAAACAGAAACACACAAGGCCATCTTTTACCAAGTCTAGAATTGAAATGTAGTCTTTGCCCTCCATCCCTTTTAGGAAGCCTGCAGCAAGGCTGACAAACAGGAGGATGCTGCAGGGAGGGGCTGCAGCAACTGTGCTGTTGGTGATGCCGGAGTCATTTCCAGAGCATGCCACTCTCATGTACACGGATACAGAAAGTCGTAGTAAAGCCAAACTGCTCCTAGTACTTCCTCAGCACTGATGGCGAGGCCCACTGTGCCAACTGTCAGTAGCAAGGTTGACCACATGGATGTGGATGTGCTAAACCCCAATGCTACCTGGGCGTGAAAGCAAACACCTTTACCTAACATCAATTTTTTTCTTGGCTACCTCTATGTAAATTTGCTCCAAATCTCTCAGAATTCTGCTTACACTGTATTCAGCCGTTTCCTCTTAACCACTAAATTCTTCTGTAGCTCAAATGCTCTTAAAATTCCCCTTTCTTCCAAGAACTGCCCTTGACTTGTTGGAACAGTAATCCTTGAACTACCTCATTTGGGTATGGGGATTTTATGTGCCTAACCTCCATCCTCTGAGCTACGAAAGCACTTACTTGTTCCTATTTTACTTGCATTTTATTACCCTCTCACGTTTGAGTGCTTCCCTGAGCCACAGTCACTGGTGGAGGGCCAGCGGGAAGAGCTGGCTGTGGGGAAGTTAAAGAGCATGAACCGGACAACTCTGAGTGTTAGAGAAGCCACCGACTGCTCTCTAAGCCTTGATCACCTCATCTGTGTCATAAACAAAATACCACCAGTGCAGTGTCCTCAAAAGCCTGTGCTTTGAGAAGTGCTGTGAGATGATTTAGCACAGTGCCTAGCATACGGTGAGCCCTAATCAAGGAGATAATTAGCAGAACACCTGACAAAAGCTTCCCGACGATGCTTAGACAAACATAAGGTAAACTGGAATTTAAATATTTATTCTGAGTGTTAACATTAGACCTATAAAAAGTTATATAGCTAATGAAAATGTTGAGTAAAGATGTTTAGGGAAAAAATGTCAACTAAATTACATATTCCATTGAAGACATTCTTTATTGGCTACAATGGTTAACATGCTTAAGAGAGACAATATTCTGTGTATTTCTTTCTTTTTTTTTTTTTGGTTATCAAATAATCTTTAATTTAAACATTTTCCTTTGTAGTTCTTAACTAGCCCGACATTCCACTGCACCACTGTTGATATCATCTATGATGTCATGAGGGTAGCGGCCATCAACATTGTAGTCCACAGACTGGGCAGTCCCCAGGATCTCTTTAATGGTTTCAGAGAGTTCTCTAGCTACAGATCGGTGCCGCATCTGTCGGGCAATGCTGACAATCTCATCAAAAGTGATATTTCGACTGTGGTTAATGTTTTTTTGCTTCTTTCTGTCTCCTGGCGGTTCTTTGAGGACTTTGAAGATCAGGGAAGAGGCAGAAGGCGCTACCTCAATCTGGGCGTGTCTGTTCTGAATGGTCAGTTTCACTGTAATTCTCAGACCCTTCCAATCACTGGTTGCTTTGGTGATGTCATCACCAACCTTTTTTGGAGACAGGCTCAGGGGGTCAATCTTGGGGTCCAGAGCAGATGTGGCACCCACTTCCCCACCGGTGCACCACAGGTATACGAGTTTGACTTGAACTTTGGCGGAATGGTGGAGGCAGCTGGTGTCGGATGAACCCGGATTTGGGACGACCAAAGAAAGTTGCATCTGAGCCTCCTCCGAGCCAAAAGCCTAAAGCTGTGTATTTCTTAATAAGCTTGGCATTTCAAACAAGGGTATTTTGGTTGAAATAAAACATATACCAACATCTTTCTAAGCTACTAATTCAGGAGAGAAAAAAAAGGAGAAAAACTGCAAATGTAATGCTTTATATACAAATACCTTTAGGGCACTTAAAGAGAATAACTTCATCACTTGTTATCTTTGGATGACCCTTACTTTGGAGGCATTTATGTTTTCATCAAGGCTGAAGAAGCAGCTTGGAAACAGGTGAGTTGCAGGTGCATACTGCTCTTGAACTTGTTCAGCAGCTCTTCCAGTAACCTGCAGGAGCAGAGACTATTTACAGCCGACAGAAGGAAGCTTGTCCAGCAATATAAGAAAACACGCACGGGAGCCAATTGCATGATTTATCGATGGATTCAACTCAGTAACGAAATCAGTCAATCAAAGGAGTAAAAAGGAAGATACTTAATTATGTTTATATATAAAAATCTCTCCTGTGCCCTTCCCCAAGATTAGAGTCCTCCCTAAAACGGATTGTTTGCACCTGAACATTTTCTTCATTCACTTTTCAAAAATTACAATGTAGTCTTGTTGGCACACAGTTCTATGAATGCTGCTAAACACTTAGCAGACTAACAATTCCCGTAACCAGATGCAGAACAGGTCCATCCTTCTCCAAGTTCTCTCCTGCTGCCCCTTTTAGCCACCTTCCCCGTTACCCCGACCCTGGGGCAATAATTTGTCTAGCCTCTATTCCCCTTATTTCTGTATTTTTGTCTTTAACAAATATTGGCAAGTGGTGAACTAAAGCCAGAGGAATCAGGTTTACTTCTAAGTCCACTGGGCAAGTCATTCTACTGCTTTACAAGTCACTTTGTTTTCTTAATTGATCTGATTTGTCCATGTAATTTTAAGTCCAGAAGGGATCTTAGATTCATCTGGTTCAGATGAAGCAACCAAGAAGTGGGCTTACTGCTACTGGGATTGAGAGATTATTTCAGGGGTTGACAATGCTCAGTATTAGGACACTGTACCAACAGATCTAGAACACAGTCCACCCAGGACTATAACAGAGTGACTGTTCTTCTTGACTCCCTGCAAAAAGCACTAGCCTTTGGAGCCATGTTCTATATGTTAAAAATAATGGTAATTGTTTTAATCTTTTATCATATTTATTTTAAATAAATGAACACAGTTTGTCATAAATTCAGATAGAGCTTGAGAATTAGTGTGAGTAAAAGGAAGTAAAAAACTGGCAGGGTTGTAGGTGTGAACACTGCACAGCCATCACTTGTCCATTCAGGAACATACACAGGAACATACAAGCAAAAGAACTGGTCTGCTGCCCACTCTTCCCAGCCCAGTCCACATGTCCCCATGACACTCCTACTGTCAGCCAACCCCATGCATTCTCTCTGCCCTTTAAGTTTGCACAACATCATCTGTGTTAGATGCCAGGGCCCGAGTGTTTCATGTAGTTGATCACCCCCATAAATATTTGTTTAGGGGCTGATCAGCCAAATGCAAAGGTGGGTGGACTTCAGTTACCTTGGAGGACCAAAGATCTACAATGTTTCCACTGCCTCAGCTGAGGGTAGGCTGGGCATTTATGAAATTGACCTGGCCTAGATTTTTGTCTCAGGTCAGAATTTCCTGTTACATGAGTAACAAAGTTTAAATTCAGACTGAGACAATCAATATAGCACTAATGAAACATATCTAACTTCATTATATCATATTTACAAATCTATTCTCTCTTAATACTTTATATATGCAGAGTACAAATCATTGGGCCCTGCATTTTACTACGCTGTCCTCTCTTTTAATTTCTAAGTAGTATCTTCCTCAACATTTAAGAGAGATATAATTGACTGAGTCAAAATAAACTTTCTTATGACGTTTTCTATACTAGACACTTAAACGAAGAAAATAACTAATTTCTAAATTGCCATAAAGCCAGAAGAAGGGTTTTTCCATATTCTGCCACTGGGAGACAAGCAAGGCACAGCTAGCATGATGCATACTACGAAGGGCTACTAAATACTGCTCTTCCTTAAATCCAAGTCATTGTTTATAGAAAGAGTACTTTCAGGTAGCCGCACTGCGCTCAGCATGTCTGCCTGGCTCCCAGGAAAGCACAGAGCACTTACTTTTTGTCTGCTCCGCTGGAAAGCTGGGGCAGCGCTTCCAGAGCCTGCTTAAAACTGGACCTGGAACACAAGCAGCAACACGGAGCTGAAACACTGCTGTTTCTCATGGGGATTAGAGCACCATTAGGAACTCTTAAACACGAAGAAACTAGTATAAAAAGGGAAGCATGTAGGTATGTGAGAAAAAGTACAAGTGAAAAACAACCGAAAAAGTAAGTGAAGGTCTAGTTCCAGAGGCTTTGCAGGAGCAGGGTCAAAAACTTGTTTAGGAAATGAAACAAAACTTGAAAAACTAAAGGAAAAATGGAATTTTATAAAAGGATGCTATTCAATTTGGTTGGTGAAAGTTAAATGAGGACATTTACTTTTTCAAAAAAGTCTTTATTTCAAAACAAAACTGAACTCTAGATAAAGCAACTGGTCAGAAAGGAAGAAAAACTAAGTAGAAATATGATCCTGTGAAAGATTACACAAATGGGGACATTTATAGTATTGATGTGTCTAGGTCAGATTTACAGCCAATATCTTATAATGACTGAACATAGTTGTTTTTTTAATAGAATTTAGCTATTATTATGTTTAAAATTTTTAGGATAATGGAGAGATGTATATATATATATATATTTTTAAAAGTCATCATTATTTCATTTCATGAAAAAGAAAAGTGAAGTTTTTAAAATTTATTTGTTAATCCTGATCCAATGATATTTTTCCCATTGATTTTTAGAGAGAGTGGGAGGGAGGAAGAAGGAAGATGGAAGGAGGGAGGGAAGGAGGAAGGTAGGGAGAGAGAGAAAGAGAGAAAGAGAGGGACATCCATGTGAGAGAGACACATGGATTCGTTGCCTCCTGCATGAACCCTGACCGGGGCTGGGGTTCAAACCTGCAACCCAGATACATGCCCTTGACCGATCGAACCCACAACCCTTTGGTGTGCGGGCCAATGCTCTACCGTTCACTAAGAGAAAGGTGAATAAATAAATGTAATTATCCATGACTTTAAAGTGGTCTCTGATTTTGTATTATAAAAACATCCTCAATATACCAGGAAAGAACTTCTGAGCAGAATTTCCCAAACTAGGGACAGGTATCCTAGCAATATATAGAGAGATAAAAACTGGCACTTGATCCCTTCAGTTGTTCCTGGTGGGGCAGGGTATGGGTGCAGGGACAGCCTAGCTGTGGGCACACTCAGCAACCTCACAATATGAAACCAGCTCTCCTCTCTCCTGACATCGAGGGAGTCTGCATATCTCCATAATCATCCTATTTCCTGTCTCTTTTCCATTAATCATACATGTGATGTTACTATTCTTTATTTTTACATTATGACAATAATGATGATGAAGAAGATACAACCTATTATTTGTAGTGCACTGAAAGTTTAGAAGGTGACTTGACATACTGTCTTATTTAATTTCTCCAAAACTTTGCCTATAAAGTATTATTATCTTCCTTTTATAATAAGGAACCTGGGCTATGAAGGGTTGAGTTACATAGGTACTTACACAAGGCATGCATACACATCAAATATGGAACGAATGCTTTCTATCATCTGTTATTTAGTACTTAGTGTTAAAAAAAAACAATGACTGGGAAAAGGTGTGGTTAAATAACATGGGAGTCATCTAGAAATGGCTCTAGTTGGCCATGATGAACAGGAAAAAGAAGCTGTGTCAGGAAAACAACTTTAGAGGTCTTTCCATTGTAACGATGGCAGTAAGAATGGTGGCATAAGCCATGTTATCAAAAGCTGGACATGAAGGAATATGTGCATTGCACAAAGACCCTAAACATTTGTCTACCACTTGGCTTCTCATGCACATTAACGGCATTGCCCAGCATTTCCTGGGTAATGTTGCCAGTGAAGTAAACAATTTTGTAAAAGCAAGTAGTCATTGCTGTTTCAGTTCACCTACTGATATTTCAATGATAGGAAATCCTGACTTTCATTCAAAACAGCTACAAATTATCATCAAATTTCCACTACAGAATTTTGCAGAGAAACCACAAGGCTTCCTCTTGTGCTGACGATCACAATGTTTGAACTGTCTTGAAAGGCCTGCTATGAATAGACTCAATTCTTATTTTCTCCTTTCTAAAGAAGAATGTGATGCTCTGTTCCATCATTTATGAGACTAAAATTTACCTTACAGAATGAGAAATGTAAAATTATATTACATCTTTTTCCCTTTATATTATGCTACAAAGAACCAGTCTTAGGAATCTGTGGCTTAGTATAGATGTGTACTTTTTAACTAGAAATTTGATCAATCAAATATAAACATTTTCACAAACAAAATCATGCGCATTCACTCTGACCAGTTATCTTTTCAAAGGACTTTATATACTAGTAACACAGTTTTGTTTTTAGCAAACGCTCAGAAAGAACTGTCAGCGTCTCACCTGCTTTCAGGCGTCAGATGGACAGCCACAGTGTCCCTCAGCGCACAGATTTCAAGCCTCGCCTGAAGAGGAAGAAAGGACAAAGTGACAATCAGGACCTGTGACGATTATCACATATGAACAGGTAGTGAGGGCAACGTCTCCAGCCTCTTCACCACAGACACAGTGCTGACAGAATACTGCAGGCGTATGGTTACCTCCGCCCCATGACTATTAGTTAAGAGCACACTTTCGCAAACAGTCCAAAAAAGTTGGCTATGACAAAATTTCCTTTTACTGAAAATTAACTTACAGTCAAGTATGACTGAGTGAAGGCAGAGAGTGAGATATTTTGCTGTGAAAGGTGCGAACTATACAAGGATTTCCCAGCAATCTGTGTTTACTATCTAAACAGTAATTTTCCTATTAGCCTGCTTGTGAGAGGAAGGAGAGTCTGAAACACTGTCCCTGGCTTGTTCCCTCCTGCACAGATTTGAGGATGTGGGCTGGCTTATTTCCTTAAACATATGCACTTCCAGGCACACTGCCTTTAACCTCAAAAATTAAGCTAAAGCTCTACAGATTCAATGCAATGCCTATTAAAATCACAGATGGCTTTTTTTAAAAACAAAAATTGACAAGTTGATTCCTAACATACAAAAACAGTCTTGAAAAAGAATACAGTTGGAGAAATTTACACCTCCTAATGTCAAAACTTTCTACAAAGCTACAATAATCAAGGCAGTGTGACAATGGTATATGGACAGACATGTAGATAAACAGAATACAGACTGAGTGTCCAGAAATGAACCCTTGCATTTATGATCAACTGATTTTTCACAAGGGTGCTGAGACCATTCAATGGGCCAAGAATAGTCTCTTCAACAAGTGATGCTGGGACAACTGGACATTCTCATGCAAATTAGAGCCCGTCCTTAACACAAAAACGAACTCAAAATAGACCTAAATGTAAGCAACAAAATTATAAAATGCTTAGAAGAAAACAGGAATCAATCTCTATGATGTTAGGTTGTGCAAACTTTCTTAGAAATGATATCTAAGTACAAGCAATAAAGGAAAAATATACAAATTGGACCTCATCAAAATTAAAAAAGTCCTGCATTCAAAAGGAAACCATCAAGAAAGTGAAAAGAATGAGATAACATTTCTCACACATGAGGATGGCTGTCATCTGAAAGATACCAGTGACATATACTGGGAAGGATGTAGAAAAACTGGAATCTCATACATTGTTGGCAGGAAAGTAAAATGATACAGTCACTCTGAAAATAGTCCGCAGTTCAATTAAAGATGAAACAGAGTAAGCACATGACCTAGCAATTCCACTCCTAGGTATATAGCCAAGATATATGAAAACATATGTCCACAAAAAACTTGTAAATGAATGTTCACAGAGGCATTCTTCATAATAGCCCAAAGTGGAAAAATCCAGATATTCATCAGATGATGAATGGGTAAATAAAATGTGGTATGTTTATACAATGGAATATTATGCAGCCATAAAAGAAATGCTGTGCTGATCCATGCTGCAGCATGATGAACCTTGCAAACATTATGCTAAGTGAGGGAGATCAGTCACAAAAAGCTGTACTTATATGATTCTGTTTATATGAAACTTTCAGAATATGCAAACCATACAGATAGAAAACAGACTTGTGCTTGTCTCATGCTGTAGGTGGGGGAAAGGAGAGTGACTGTTAATGGGCCTGGGGTTCCTTTCTGGGGTGATGTCATGTTCCAAAATTGATTGTGGTGATTATACAATTCTGTGAACATAGTTAAAAAATCACTGAACTGTATACTCTTTATCCTATAGATATACTGTATGGTATATAGATTATATCTGCACAAACTTTTATGGCAGAAATGCTAACCTAATGCTTACACTTGTTTGCAAGCTTGAAGAAGTGTGACTTTACTTACAGGCCAGTTTTCCTCAAAGTTCTACAGGTGCCTCTGATGAGAAAGCCCACACCCTCCACCTCTGACTCAGGCACCCAGAGTATGGCTGATGCTCAGGAGACCACTTAAAAGAAACAGCCCTATTTTCCAGGAGTGCGTAAAATGTAAAACAATCATAAATGACATGGCTAGCTATTCAAATTAGAGTTAATTACAAAATCTGTAAGCAATCTAGATAAAAGCTGATTTATCTAAGATACAGTATATTCAGTGAAACTTTTCTGTTTGGAAAGTGATTGGTTTTTAAAAAAATATATTTTATTGATTTTTTACAGAGAGGAAGGGAGAGGGATAGAGAGGTAGAAACATCAATGAGAGAGAAACATCAATCAGCTGCCTCCTGCACACCTCCTACTGGGGATGTGCCTGCAACCAAGGTACATGCCCTTGACCGGAATCGAACCTGGGACCTTTCAGTCTGCAGGCTGATGCTCTATCCACTGAGCCAAACCAGTTAGGCTATTGTTTGGTTTCATTTTTCGGTGCTTTAGAAGCATAAAAAATAGTTTATAACTAGAAAGTATATGTATAATAAACTACTTCTACTGTTTATACTGTAGTTTATGTAAAAAACATACCTATAAAGAAAATATCAAAGACAAAAATAAGGTAGAACTTTTAGTTGAATATTTTAGAAGGATTAAATAAGCCACTGTAAAATTAATCTTCATGTAGAAATTTTATTCAAACAAGGTGTTTTAATTAAACTATGAATTATGCCAATTATAAGTTGTGACTATTTATAAAATATACAAAAAATGCATGCAAAAAAAAATCATGCTAAAAGATAGCTAAAATCCTCAGGCTGTCTCTCCACTCCTCTCAACTGGCTTTCTGGAGGTTTTGAAGACTGATGCACTGGCCTTCCATGTAAATGATCATTAGAGATCATTAACCTGTAGTCTTTCTCAGGATCTGCTCAAGAGAAGGGTGTCAAAAACAGCCATTTCAATAAGAAAGGGCAAAGTGGGGCAGCCAAGTTCCAAGGAAGTATCAACATGTTAGGGACCAGATAGTCATGGTGGCTGGTGATCTCCTGGACATACGACTGGTAAGTCCTCACTCAATCGACAGGTTCTTGGAAACTGCAACTTTAAGAGAAACGATATTCAACAAAACCAATTTTACCACAGGCTAATTGCTAGAAACAAGAGATACGTTCCTATGGCATATTTATGGTCAAAAAAACATTGCTAAACTTCTAAATAAGGACCCCAAACACAGCTAATATTAAACATTGAAATAACTGGGAGCTATACATACATTTAAGAAAGATTAATAAAAACAGATAAAATCATTATTTTTCAACCCACTTATTCCATTTCAGGAGCCTGGGTGGCAGAAGCCGAACCTGGCAGCCTAAGGCGCAGGCAGGCCCCACCCTGGATGGGATGCCCTTCATTGAGGGACACATCATGCACCCCACACTCACAGACTGGGACAGTGTAGACAAGTGCACAGCTCTGGGGTGTGGGAGGAAACCCTCGCAGCCGTGGGGAGAATGTGCACATCCCAAACAGACAGTGGCCCCAGTCAGGAATCAATTTTTTTTATTAATGTTATAATGAAATAGTGTCCCAGTGCATGGATTCGTGCACATTGAAAGGAAATTAATTAGAAGGAATATTTTAATATTGCTATTTGCCCTTTCTCTATAATAGAAGTGTCAACCAAATTCACGATCAACAATGACAGATCGAAACACATGTGCGATTGGCGCCGAGAGCTTTATATGCATGGCGCATGTGCGAGTAAACTTAGCCTTTTATATATATAGATAAATTGCTTAATTAGACCTGCTTGCTGATTTAGCTAAACTTTTCCAGCCCAGTGAAGCACCCCAACTTCTCTTTCAGGTAATTGTCAGGAACACAGCAGTAAATATCAACACGAAGCAGACTATTATTGTAGATCATGCAGGGAGAACAAAGGGTAAAATATTCAACTGCAGCAGTGTTTGACTATATTCTGCACAGTGAGAAAACCTGAAGTCATTTTCAAGTTCCACCGTTTCTTACTTCTTTTCAGTGGGGTCAAGTTTCTAAACTTCCTAATCTCCATTGTCTTGCTAATGAAAAGAAAATAGGATTCTATGGAGTCTATCATACCTACTCCAGGACTTCTGTGAGGATTAAAAATGAGAATAAAGGCAGGTGAAAAATCCTACAAAAGACATTTT